TCCACGGGCTCATCAGTCTAGTGCCGTTGATACACTTCATTCTCCTTCTGCTTTCATTTTCGTTGGCCAGGCTTTTGATGGTCTCTCTAGCATGACTACTCATGAGGTTGAAGATGTTCTGCGTCACTTACTGGATTGACGGTCTTCTACTGCTCTCAGTACATCTTCCTCGTCGTTTGTCCGCTCAGGTAACTTAGCCTCTTCTCCTCGTGTTTTCCTTTCTCATAAGTTTTTGCCTTGAATTATAGATTTTGGTGCCTCCGATCATATGTCTGGATCCTCTGACCTTTTCTCTTCAGGTCAGGACAAAGTTAGGATTGCAGATGGTACTGTTTCTTCCATTTCTGGGAAAGGTTTAGTCCATGTCACTCCTACTATACATCTATCTTCTATTCTCCATGTTCCCAATTTTTCTGTTAACGTGTTATCCTTGAGTCGTATTACAAAGGATTTGAATTGTAATGTGACTTTTTTTTCCTGATCATTGTCTTTTTCAAGACCTTGTCACGAGGAGGACGATTGACAGTGGTAGTGCAGACAATGGTTTGTACTTCCTGGATCAACCGGAGCAGCTTGCTCATTCTTCTACCACACCAGCTTGCGCATTCTTCTACCACGAGTCTCACTATCCAAGATGATTTATGGTTGTGGCATTGGCGTCTTGGGTATCCTTCTTTTTATTTACTTAAGCATTTATTTCCATCGGTTTTTGCAAACAATAATGTGTCTGAGTTTCTTTGTGAGTCTTATCAACTTGGAAAACAACACAGAGCTTCTTTTGCTCCCAGTTTTAATAAGAGTTTAGTTCCTTTTTTCTTAATACATTATGATGCCTGAGGTCCATCTCGTGTTATGTTTGTGAGAGGTCATCGCTGGTTTGTTACATTTATTGATGATTTTTCTCGTACTACTTGGGTGTATCTCATGAAAGACGAGTGAGGTTCTCTCTGTGTTCTGCAATTTTCATAAGATGATTTATACTCAGTTTGGGGCCACTGTCAAAATCTTGCATTCTGATGATAGGGAGAATATATAGATTTTGGATTAGGGCAATATTTTTCTGCTCATGGCATTATCCATTAGACCTCTTGCACCAATACCCCTCAACAAAATGGGGTGGCAGAACGCAAGAATCGTCATCTTCTTGACATGGCTTGGTGCATGTGTTTTTCTATGAGTGTGCCTTGGTCCTACTGGGGCAACGCTATTCTGACCACTGCTTATCTTATTAATCATCTTCCTACCCAGGTCTTGCAAAAACAAGCTCCTATTCAAGTCCTCCTAGGTTCCGAGTCCTTGTTTTCTATTCCTCCAAGAATATTTGGCTGTGTCTGTTTTGTCCACAATCACTCTCCTACTCGTGGTAAGTTGGACCCTTGCTCCCTCAAATGTGTTTTCCTTGGATACTCTCCTACTCAAAAGAGGTATAAGTGTTATTACCTTCCTTCTTGTAAGTGGTTTATGTTCATGTTTGTCACATTTTTTGAGTCTCAGTCCTATTTCTTGTCCTCTCTGGTGTCACCGTCCTCCCTTCAGGGGGAGCCTTGGAGTGAAGTGACCACCACCTCCTCATATAGAGCTTTTGTGTCTAATATTTCCTCTGTTAGTATTCTTACCCATTTTTAGGATGCTCTTATTACCTCTGAGTGAAAACTTGCCATGATTGAGGAAATGAAAGCACTTAGGAAGAATGACACTTGGGAATTGACTAAGTTACCTAAGGGCAAACGACCTGTGGGATACAAATGGGAGTATACTGTGAAACACGAAACTGATGGTTCTATTGAGCGTTACAAGGCTAAACTTGTGGCAAAAGAGTTCACTCAGACATATGGAGTTGACTATCAGGAAACCTTTGCACCCGTGGCTAAGATGAATTCAGTTAGAGTACTTCTCTATCTAACAGCTAATCTAGATTGGCCACTTCATCAGTTTGATGTAAAGAACGCCTTTTTCTATGGTGACTTAGAAGAAGAGGTATATATGGACATTTATCCTGGTTTTGAGGATCATCAGACAGAGGGTAAAGTATATCGGCTTAGGAAGTCATTATATGGTCTCAAACAGTCTCCAAGGGCTTGGTTTGAGAGATTCACTTAGGCTATGCTTAAATATGGCTTCAAATAGAGTCAAACAGATCATAACTTATTTGTGAAACATTCCCCACGGGGTAAGACTACAACGTTCATTGTTTATGTGGATGACATAGTTCTTACAGGTGATGATAGTGAGGAAATACCTCTGTCAACGAAATATTTAGCAAGTGAGTTTGAAACCAAAGATTTGGGAAGCTTGAAGTATTTTCTGGGAATTGAAGTTGCTCGCTCTAAGGATGGGATATTTATTTCACAGCGATGGTATGTGCTTGACCTATTGAAGGAAATTGGGATGCTTGGTTGACACTCCATTGGAACCCAATCAGAAACTGGGAGATGATGAAGGAGGAGCAGCTGTTGATAGGGGTAGCTATCAGCGTTTAGTGAGTAAGCTCATCTATCCATCTCACTCCCGTCCTGATATAGCTGTTGCTATTAGTGTGGTTAGCCAGTTTATGCATGCTCCTTATCAGATTTACTTCGAGACTGTCATAAGAATTTTGCGGTATTTGAAGTCTGCTCTTGGTAAGGGTCTTTATTTTTCAAAGCATGATCATCTTTGTGTGGAAGCCGATACAGATGCTGATTGGGCTAGATCAATAACTGATAGGAGATAGACTTCAGGGTATTGCACCTTTGTTGGAGGCAACCTAGTTACTTGGAGGAGTAAGAAACAGAATGTGGTTGCCAGGTCTAGCGCAGAAGCTGAGTTTAGAGCTATGGCACAAGGGGTGTATGAGCTCTTATGGATCAAGTTATTGTTGGGTGATCTAGGTCTTGATCAGATGGACTCCATGTGGTTGTACTGTGATAATAAGGCCACTATCAATATCGCTCACAATCTGGTTCAACATGACAGGACAAAGCATGTTGAGATTGATCGCCACTTCATTAAGAAGAAACTCACTAATGGCACAATATGTACTCCATTTGTGCAATCTGGTGAACAACTCGCTGATATCCTCACCAAGGGAGTTGGGAGTAAGCCATTGCATGACATCCTAGGCAAGCTGGGCATGAGAGATATCTTCGCATCAGTTTGAGGGGGTAGTGTTAGAATAGTATATTATTAGTATATTATTAGTTGGGTTGTATTCAATTGTAATTATTCTATTGCTTAGGTCTCCCTTATAATTATTAATCTTTATTAATATAAAAAGGGGATGATATCACGATCATTCCCTAATCTTGGTATTCTCCAAAAATCATCAAGGATTGCATTGATTTGTTGTAGAATTGATATAAAATTAAGAGAATTGAAATCATTTGCAAAACCATGCATTACATTTGCATTTCTATGAAATTCATGTTATTGGCTTTTATTACATTTTGAGAAAATGCATTTAAATTGATTTATTTCGGAAATTTTGTGAAGGAAGTGTAATGGCGGTAAATAACATGGTAAATCCGATTAGGGGGTGTAGCTATGTTTGAGAATTAAGTTGGCTTGACGTCCATGGTGAAAGTCCTAAAACACGTGCAGAATAGGTATCAATTTTCTTCCGATTAGTAACCGATAAAGTGGGGGTGATTTTGGTAGTTCTTTGATAGACTAATGGCGGAAACGTACCTAGAAATTTTTTTGGTTTGTTTGGTTGTATATTTTGAAAGTAGTTTTGGAGTTTGGGAATTTGGAATGATTTGATATTTTATTGTAATTGAGTAGATGTGTGTGAGAGAAAAAGTGATTGAGAAGGAGAAAGGAGAAAGAAAAAGTGATTGATTGATGTGTAAGAGAGAGAAAGTGATTTTGGAAAAATTACTAACCAAACAAGTTTTTTAGAAATTTTTTTCCAAAATCACTCTACAAATCCAAACCAAACAAACCCCTAGTGTTGTATTTACTGCCCAGTCTATTTTGAAGAAATGAAAGTGTTGAATCAGATGTTTGGAAAATTTTGCATGGAACATTCTCATGGAAAGAAAAACTTATTTTTTTTTTAGCAGTACATGTCATTGCATCTCATGATCATGGTTGTGTTAAAACTCATGCACATCATTAAGATTATCTCTGCTGGGCATTAGTGCTCGTCTCTTGTGGAAATCATTTTTTAGGTGTTGATGTTGTTCCTTTGCTTAGAAGATGGCTCGGGGATTTTGAGAGCAAGACGCTCATTATTTTTTTGTTTATTTGTAAAGCCTTGGGCTCTTTTTGTATTGGGTCAAGATTCCCCTTTTGTTGTAAATAGGGCAATGTCCCTTTATACATGTAAGCCTTTGGGGCACTTTATTTGAATAATCGATCAATGTTCAATGTGATGTTTTTGCATGTTTCATCTTCATGCCACGTAGTGATTGAATATAGAATGCATGAGATTCCTAAATTTTCATGAAGTGAATGAAATGCATTGCCGGAGAGTGGTTCGTATATTATATTGTCTAAATCAGGAAGTTGCTACATATATGTTTTTATTTTATTTTATTTTATTTTTTATAATTTAAATCTTAAATGTTTTCTGTACAACTAAATATATTTTTCCCAAATTAAATAAAGAATCGATTTCTTTTATTATTCGGATTCTTTAGAAATCAGGGTGTTACATTGATAGTGCCCCTTAAACTACTCTTACGTACTCAGCGGTATATATTGTAATACATGGCCTGTGAATTCAATCTATAAGAGAATCATGGGGCAGTAAAAAGATTTTGAACTTCAAGTGCATATTATTTTGGGATTTGTAAGGGATGTGTATACACTTGATTATGCTTTTGTTATTGTACTTTGAGTTTGTTGTATTTTTTAGTTAGTTTTGATATACTTTGAAAAGCTTTTCACAATCATTATATATAGTCACATTGCATGGCATCTGTTCTTTGATTTGCTTTGTTTTGTATTTTATATTTTATTTAATTTAATTTTTATATATTAGAATCATTGTAAGATGTGTTGAGCATTGCTATTTACAGTAATTTACTTCTGATGCGGTGGAATAGGGAGGGCAGTTGTTTTTAAAGAACAGGCAAAGAAGAAAAGAAAAGGGATTTTACTTTACGGTATAAATGGTGCAAGTTATGTCTACAAGCACTCTGACAACCTCTGGAAGCAGTAGCCATTTACTGGGGAGGCATTCCAGGCTAAATAAAAGTGACATAACCTATGGAGTTGAAAGACTATGCCTTTGGTATCAAGGTGCACGTACCTTTTCCTTTATAAGGCACTTTGATATATCAAGACAACAAAGTTTGAGAGTTGAAGCTGGATGGCTGTTTAAAGGAGGCGACCAGGGGTTGGATGCAAGCTCGGAGCGCAGTGAAACTGCCAATGAGGATATATTAATTTTCTTTTTCCAGCTGGACTTGGGGACTCAAGTACAGGTTGGCATGCTGTTCTAAAGTTACCTTTTTTATGGTTTATGGTGTTTACATGGTTTTGCATACCTACAACCCCCTTGATCACTGCTGGAACCCAGAAGAAAGTTGGCTTACAATATTTCTCTGTATATATTGGCAGCGTGCTCTGAATTTGGAGGAGTATGAAATTGCTCAACAACTAAGAAACAAGCTTACTGAGGTTCGATTATTTAACACTTGTCTAGTTATCTTGGTTAATTCATCATACTATACCCCCTCAGAGTGAGGTTCCATCTCGCAAAAACTGTGTTTTAAATATCTTGGTTAATTCACAAATGTTTATCAATACATCTTTTTTATTTCTATTTTTTTTCAGACGACTTATTCAAAATTTTATCCAGCCATTTCCATTTGCACGAATGCTTATATAATAGAGTTGTATCTGTATCGTATCTGTATCAGATACCTATACTCCTCAAATACTCATGGATTCGTGTCTGGTACTTCATGTTAATTTTAAGAATTGTAGGATACCTTTCTGGATACTCTTTAAGTCATTTATCTGAACTATTGAAATTGGACTTAAAAGTGTATGGACCAGATTATTCAAATTGAACCAATAGGGATCATAGTGAAACTTGGATCAAACTATAGAGATGAAAAATATAATTTACCGATATATATATATATATATATATCCCATATTGATATCCATACTTTTTTGAAAGTAAGGATAAATAACAAACTATGATGATATACTAAAATTGGATTTCAATAGTTAAAAACAAGTGAACTTTTCTTTTTTGATTGGCACATACCCCTAATACCCCACCCTTTCCAAACCCACCCCCCCTACTGAGGCTTGCGATATGCTTGCATACAACGCTCTTGCATATAACACATTTAAGCATGTAAGGAAAAAGTACAAGGGCAATAAAAAATAGTTTAGACTTGGTACTAAAATGAAATTTTTATAACACCTTAAAAAAAGAAGAGAATGGTTTCTCACCATTCTTTGAGCTTATGCATAATACAATACTAAAAATTATAAAATATTTTTTTTTTTATGAACATAACCTGGTTGTACTCGTATTCTATTTTTTTAGGTTTTGTCGTATTTGTATCGTGTCATACCCGTATTAGTATCTGTATATCTATCCATGCTTCATAGATGATTCGCATCTAATCATTTATTTGTAAATCCTAATCTTGTGTACTTTTGTGTCCACCGATTCTTGTGACATGCTCAATAAGTATTTCCCTTGGTAGGTTGAAACAGAGGTTATCAGGCAACAAGAAGCAAGAAGAGGATCAACCTCAAAGAGTGAAGCTCAAGATGTGGCTATAAATATCTTACGTGTACGGTGAGTCTCATGTCTTATTACACAATACGTAGTTCGGGCTTAACTAGATCTTTCTTTTTTTGGGGGGTATTGTATATGAGGGTCTTGGTTCTTTAACTTTATATTTTTCTTTATGTTATTTATTTATTTTCCCCTTCTAATGCAGTAACATATTGCTTTAACTTGAAATATGTATTAGACTGTCTCCACTTCTTCACATGCAGTGCGGATCTGCAAAATGCAATTCAGAGCGAGAACTATGCTTTGGCCGCTGAATTACGGGATGAAATTTCTAAACTTGAGGCAGAGTCACTAGTTGCCTCAGCAAAGGCTCAACTGCATGAAAATGCTCAATATGCATTTCGTTTGGGCCAGAAAGTGAGGCACAAGATGTTTGGTACATATTTGTTCTACCTTTGCTTGTCCTTCATTGCTCTAGTTAAGAATTATTTGTGTTTTGATTGTTGTCGTCTAGTATCAACTTTGTTAGAATTCACATGGAAATAGTTATTATTCAATGTTTAACAACCAATTCATCCAAAATCTTAACCTGATTAAGGGAGGTGTAATTTAATTATTTATATTCTCAACATGTAGTCAGCCTCCCCTCTATAAACAGGAAAAACAAGTGAAAATTTTATAATTATTTGGTAAGCCGTGGGGTTTGAATACGTGATCTCTGCTTACTCTAAAATCATCTTACATGTTTAACAACCAAATAAAAGGTTGTACCCAGTGCACTTCTTAGTCCGCTAAAATGTGTAAAAACTAAATCATCTAAAAGCTTAAATTATTAGAGAGATGTACAACTTAATTATTTATATCCTCAACAGTTTGAAGTTATGATTTCCTGCCCCCTATGAAGCAATTGAATTTAATTCCTTTTCTTGAATAAGCAATAACTGGATGGAATCAAGATACAAACAATAGAATGAATGAGCAAAGTAGATTCTTTATTTAATAACTCCAAGGTCTGAGTGATTCATGAGCTCATAAACCTATGAAATATTTCTAAGACCCACAAAAAAAACTCCCACAATTGTACCCACAATGATGTATATGTGTCAACTTTTGATTTGTCACACATCCAATGATATAGGGCCCAACTCTGTTGCCAAATCATTGTGGGTGGATTTGTGGGTTTAAAAGTGTGGGTCTCTAGCATTTCTCTAAACCTATTCAACATTTGTCCGCAAGAGAAAACCCCTGAAAGTCCACATGATTTTTGGTTTTGTGTTAACAATGTTAGATCAATTGTAGAATAACATGCTTCAATCCTCATAGTGGAATGATGTGTTACTACTGTATTGATCGAAGAATAGTAAAGATAGTTTAAATGCAACTTTAGAATCCCTTCATCATCAAAGGAATAACAATAACCCAAGGGGTTGACTTGGTGGTTAGTCACTTGGCCGTTGGCGCCCTTATAAAGTATTTGGTTTGAGGTTCGACTTTCATTGACTGCTATTGATTGGTTTGACTTGGTAGTCAGTCACTTAAAGCATTTTGGTTTGAGGTTCAACTCCCATTGAGTGCTATCAATCCTGTAGGGCCACACCTTGAGATCTGCCCACCCTCATGTAGGGGGTGCTTTGCGTGGGTCTCAGGATTAGTCAGGGTTTTACCCGAGTACTTACTATTAAAAAAAAAAAAAAGTAATGATGATTCACAATCGCTAAGGGTCTGTTTGGTAACATTTACGTTTCAGTTTATATTTACAAAAAATTTATAAACTGATTTTTGTTTATTTTTGTTTATTTTTAGAAAAACATAAACTACAAACGCGTTTGGTAATTGACAAAATATTTAAAAAAATTTAAAAATATAAAAAAGAGTGAGAAATGACAAGTGGTGGCAAGTTGCGGCGGAAGACGGTAGTGGAAAGTGGTGACGGTGGGTGGTGGGTAGCTGGTGGTGGTGGGTGAGTGGTGGTGGTGGTGGTGGAGAGTGGATGGTGGTGGCGGAAGACGGTAGTGGAAAATGGTGGCGGGTGGGGGCTAGGGTTGGGGGGGTAAAAAAAAAAAAAGTGGGTTTGTATCATTTGTGGACGAAAAAAATAAGGAGCGAGACCTCCATCCCCACAAGACCCCCGCAAAACTGGACCATTCATGATTTGGACCCCACATATCTATGGAGGACCAGGATCACTTTGGAAGTGTGGAGGTTATCTTCAAAGGAAATCCCAAACATTTTCCAAAAATAATTATCAATGGCCTTGTTTAGGAAGACAATTGGGTTAAAATAACCCACTAAAAGATAAAATATGCTAAAATAGTTAATAATATTCAATCCATAATCATTTTATTTTATTTTTTTCCACAACTATCAAATCAACTATTAAAAAAAAAAAATTAACTTTTCAAATATAATTTTTTTTAACTAGACTAAAATAACCGAAAGAAAAATGATTGAGAGGTTTAATAAATGAGCTCTAATGGGAGTGTATCCCACTGTGATGTGATGTTTTAGTTTTGATTTTATTTTTTTTAATTTTTTTAATTTCCTGTCATATCATTAGAGCTCAATTATAGCTCTTAAATTAAAGGATTGTATCATTGCTCATAATCAAAAAATTAAATAGTCAACTAAAATAATTAATTTTCCAAACAATGAGAGTGCAACTCTTTTTTTAATAAAAAAAATTCAACGAAAGTTGAACTCCGCAAATATTTATATTCTTGCCTCTTTATAAACATTTGCCCAACTTCACACTGATTGGTAATTTCCCCAAAAGGGAAGCTTTTTTATGATCTCAAACACTTCCTAATTATAAATTTGATCAAGGTTAGGGCTAAAATTTGTATACCCGGATTCGCTTTGGAAAATGCTGGGGCACGAGTTTCTACAACCCAAATAACTTGAAAAATCCAATTTTTTTATTAATATATATAATAAATATGAAATATTAGAAATTACCTGTCGCCCAAGGGGCTTTGGAGCGAATGCTCATGGCTGTCCCAAAAGTAATTAGTGTCATGAAGGTCACACTTTTCTAGAAAGCTGAAAATTTGAAAAAGATTGATGAAGATTATGTGAAGACTTCGAAGCAGTACGCAACGGTGAGGGTCACAGCCCGAACAAAGATCTTTCTAATCCAGGCAAGGGAGGCTAATCGAGTTGCAACTACAACTACGGCCTTTGTTGCAACTTCAGCAGGCGCAACACAAAATGTTGTGGCCCAGCTACTCACAAAGGTAGAAGACTTCGTCAAAATGACAGAGTTTGCCCAGATCTGCTGAAAACATGGCCATCATCAGGGCCATTGGGAGGAGGTTAATGACCCAAACTCTTGTTGATGGAAAAACAACAGCAGCCTACGAACCGACAGTTCTCTTCGGGGCTCAAAGTTTGCCTATTCAGAACCCAATCATTTATGAGAGGCCAAATCAAAAAAAGGAGCACCCGTTGGCTCGATGGGGTTCGAATCTACATCAACTGGTCCTAGTTATGGGCTATAAAAAAAGCCTCCCTGTTCCCAAAAATGCAGGGAGTGTTTTGAAAATCCACGAGGAATTTGCAAAATTGCAAATGGCTCCTTCTATGCCCCATTGAATATTGGAAAAAACTTTATTTAGATCTAACATCAACTGTTGAAGAACGCAACAGGTTGATTACTCAAATTCAAAACCTATATTTAGAAAATGAAATTTTTTTACTTATTTTGGGTATCAGGTTTTTATTATAGATGATGAATTTTATGATGACGACTCTCCTCATTTCATCAACGCAACAAGCATGGTGATCAAAGCCGACCAGACTTTAGAATCTGAAACTTCAGACTCTAAAATTTCTGATGAAGAAACCAAACCTACAACTACAGGTAAAGGTAAAAGAAAAATAGATGAACCATTAGATCCAGAAGAATTTGAAGCAAAACCAGAATTTAATAAAAACTATCGAACAAACGGTACCCAGACACATCCACTAGTGAAACTAAACCTAGTGATCCTAAACCATCTTACCAAAGAAAAGATGATTTAAACAAAAATCCAATAACCCAACACGGTACTTATTTGGATTTAACACATGTTTTTAAAGATCAATTAAAAACATTTGATGATTGGGCACAATCCATGTTTATTTTAATAACAAATTATATGTAAACATGGACAAGAGAAAGATTCGTAGATTATATTGCAGCAACATTACATGGAAATTGTTTGCAATGGCTAATACAATGGGAAAAATCTGATTTTGGAAAAAATCAAAAAACAACTCTTTTATCAAACTTTTTTAAGTTTTGATAAGATGTTGAGTGATTTTGTCACCATAAGTAAAGAAAATATGTGTGGCTATTCAGGAGAAATTAATTTGCAAGAAGATGCATATTATGCTCTATCCAAACTAGAACTATGTAATATTAGAGTATGTGACATTATTCAAAAAATATTACTATATTCTAGATCCTCCACAAAATACCTACTAGTTAGATCAGTGTTTTCATAAACTCCCAAACCCATGGGATGAATTAAGTTTTAAAAAATATCCTAAATTTTTAGAAAAAATAGAAAAAAGTGATAATCTTGGATTTAGGATAAACTTTGTCTCGAGACTGATAGCAAATCAGTGCTTAACAGTGGTACAAGCAAAGAAACAAGTGAAAAATCAAATCACCAATTCCACAAAAAGAAAAAATTGTTGTGACCGAATTTTGTGAGAAATTTGAAAAATTGGTTGCACACCTTCTTATAAAAGAAAGAGTAAAATTAAGAAAAAGGAATTTAAGTAAAAACTTGGAAAAAGAAGAAAATTCTTAACATAAAAAATATGTTAAGAAAAGAAAAACAACTTCTAACAAGAAAAATTTCGTAAATGTTATAGTTGTCATGAAGGACATTATACATCTCAGTGTCCTAAAAAAGGAACAAGTGCTAAAAAGATGATAAAAGTTTTTGAAGAGCAAGATGTTGAAATTTGTTTTGGTGAAGAAATTTCAGATACAAAAGAAATACTGTATGAAATTTCAAGTGAAGAATATTCATCAGATGAAGATGAAGATGAAGAATACATCTTTATGATGAATACAATTATAGAAAATCCTAAGGAGGAATCAGAAACATTCCGATTAGGAGATTATATCGGTAAAGAAATTATCTTTTTCGAAGAACAATTGGCTAAGTATGAAAAACTTCAAGGAATTCGAAAAGAAGAAATTTATAAAATTTCAAAATTCAAACCTTGGTTAGTAAGAATATTTGAGCAACGTGCTGGAAACACCAAGGCTCAATTTACAGATGAAGAAAATGTCGATATAACCTTATTCGACAAAAAGAAAATTGCTAGATGGAAAAAGAATAATCCTGAGTTAAGATATATTCATATAGGACTAATTCAAGTAAAAATCATTGCTTTGTTTAGACAAGGTACTGATACGCCTATCTTAGCAGTCTTACTAGATAAAAGATTTCATGATCCAATAAGAGCCATTATTGGAGGAGTACAATCTAATTCGAGTAAAAATCACTGGTTTGTTTAGACAAGGTACTAATACACCCATCTTAGCAGTCTTACTAGATAAAAGATTTCATGATCCAATAAGAGCCATTATTGGAGTACAATCTAATTTAGTAAATGGAATACTATGGTTTAACATAAAACCAAATTTCTTTGTGTCAATAGATGATCCTAATATCGAGGATGTTGTTAGGATTCGTCTAAAAACACAACATATAGGAATGAAAAAAGATTCTCCTATAATCTCGCAATTCAATGGAAAACTATCCATGAATTAACAAGGCTACCTGAAACATCAATTAAACCAATTAATACAAAAATAGTTGACATGTGGGAACCAAAACCATATGAGACAATAATTCAACCAAAGCTTATAAATTGGTCAGATTTAGAAATTCCAAACCAGAAAACAGCTCTTTTATCAAACCTTTTAAGTTTTGATAAGATGTTGAGTGATTTTGTCACCATAATTAAAGAAAATAGCTGTGGGTATTCAGGAGAAATTAATTTGCAACAAGTTGCAAATTATGCTCTATTCAAACTAGAACTATGTAATATTTGTCAATTTGAAGAGTATGTGACATTATTCCAAAAATATTATTATGTTCTAGATTCTCCACAAAATACTTACTGGTTTGATCAATTTTTTCATAATTCCCAAACCCATGGGATGAATTAAGTTTTGAAAAATATCCTAAGTTTTTAGAAAAATTAGAAAAGAGTGATAATTTTGGATTTAGGATAAACTTTGTCTTGAGACTGATAGCAAATCAGTGCTTAACGGTACAAGCAAAGAAACAAGTGAAAAATCAAATCACCAATTCTGCAAAAGGAAAAAATTGTTGTGGCCAAATTTTATGAGAAAATTGGAAAATTGGTTTTAGACAAATACTTAGTAGATATATTTTCTAACTAATTGCTGAAGTAGTAATATAAGATGTAAGCAAACGATGAAATAATTTTAAGAATTTACAATGTTTCATTTCGTTGGCTTCAATGCCATTTTATAGAATACATTCATAGATACAATCAACAAAAGTCCAAAAAGCTATTAATCTAAAAGTCAAAAAGCCTATACGTAGGCTTATTAATTTGCTTACACTAAAGTCAAACAGCCTATACTTAGGCTTATCAAAAAAGTCTATCTACAATACATATGCAGTCCTCCTCCCTCATTTTTGAAAAAGAGATACTACTCCAGATAAGATTTGGCTAATCTTATCTTTTGATTATTGTTGCAGATGCTACGACGTCTGCTGGATAAGGATGGAATTGATCCTGCATATCTGCAACATGTCTTCATGGGCCCACTATGCTTCCATCATATTGTCTAGATTGTGCATGAAGACACTATCTTTGGATAATGGAGAATCTTGGGGCTAACTCTATTCCTGTGTTTTGAAAGCTTCCACTTCATCAACTTGCATTGCCAAATCTAGAGGAAGATCTAGCAAATTTCTTTTTTGCTAGATTGTTGAGAAAATCTTCTGCTTCATTTTGTTGTGTAGCAGTTCTTGTATATGAAATTGGCTCTATAGTAACAAATAGTAATGCAACTTTTTATGCTTTGTGCCACTTGGGAGAACAATATTAGACTTTCTACCCAGTATTGTTCAGGACATAAGACATTAATTAGTTCATGAGGATTGACGACTCTCCCTTTGAATTTATTAATGGTCCATCATGAGCTAATTCTGATTCTTCAGTCTTTTTCAAGTACCAAATTTGATATGGCTGATAGAATTTTTCCCTTTCACACCATCCAATGGTGCTAGCAATCCAAAAAGTGAAATATTTGCTCTATTTGTAATTTTTTTTATTACTTTTGAGAGCATTGCCTTGATCATCTTTGGAAAATCTTTCTGTTGTATAGGATGAGAACTTTGAAGAATTGCTTGATTAGTTATTCCTCAGTCAATTTCTTCAAAGACCTTCCAATCATTATCCTCATAAAACCATTCTTGGGTATCTAAGAATAATGTGATTTTTGGAATATCTAAGAATAATGGGTTAAGACTTGGCCTAATAACCTTGAAGTTATCGGTTCAAAAGTTTTGAGACTATCACTTTGTGCATTACGCCAAAGGTTAGATGTATACTCAATCTTTCCCCTCTCACACACACATTAATGTGTACTAATTGGGCAGTTTTTTTTTTTTTCCACAATAATCTTCTACTTTATCCTTAATGATTTTAAAATTTTCACAAGGGAGAATTGTTCTTGATTTTTAAAAAGACAAATTCTTCTAATTATTTCAAAAGAAGAATCTGAATATTCATGGTTTATGAATTTAGAAATTTGAAGAAAAGTATTTTTTTTTTTCAAATTAAAAATCTTGATCCCAATTCATTTGTTTAATGAGTTGGAAACAAAGTTTTTGTAACTCATTTATTCTAGTGGTTTGTTCCACTAATTGAAATGATAAATTGGACATATGTAATCGAAAACCTTTTTTATTTTCTGAAATGTGGGTTTTCCATACTCCATTTAATTCCTAACAAATTTTTCTGGGAATACCAGGATTAAAAGTCTTTAATTTCATATTCATTTGGTTTAGAATTCTGAAATTCAAAAGGGACTATATTGGTTTGCTCCATTTGTAATTTTTTTTTTGTTACTTTTGAGAGCATTGCCTTGATCATCTTTGGAAAATCTTTCCATTGTATTGGATGAGAACTTTGTAGAATAACTTGATTAGTTATTCCCCGGTCAATTTCTTCAGAGACCTTCCAATCATTATCCTCATACAACCATTCTTAGGTATCCAAGAATAATGTGGTTTTTGGAATATCATCTTGTAAATTAATTTTGTTAATCGATTTGGGAAGAATTTGTTTAATTTTTTCACAATGATCTACTTTATCTTTAATGATTTTAAAATTTTCACAGGGGAGAATTGTTCTTGATTTTTTAAGAAGACAAATTTTTCTAATTGTTTCAAGAGAGGAATTAAATTGTGGATATAATTTTGGCAAATTTAAACCTGTTGAAACAAGATATATTATTTTTGAAAAAGAACTTTTAGCAATAAAACTTACTTTAAAAAGATTCTGAATATATCTTTCTCTTGAATGTTTTATTGTTAGAACAAACAATCAAGCTGTAAAAGATTTTTTGGTTAACAAGAAGAATATTGAAGAAAGCCGCCGACTTCGATGGTGTAATGAATTGTTACATATACTTTTGAAGTTAAACATTTGAAAGGAACTAATAATTTTCTTGCAGATTTTTTAAGTAGAAATCACTAAATCAGTGTTTTCTCTTTTTAGCCATGAACAAGGGTAAACAGGCCGTTGAGTCTGATAAAGAATAGGTGATAATTGCCAAAAAAGCAATCCCTAAAACCGAAAAAGTTTATGTTGTTTTTTCAAGTAGACAACCTGGAATTTTCAAAAATTGGAAAGACTGCAAAAACCAAGTTGGATTCCCTCGAGCTTGCTATCAAGCGTTTGACAATTTGGCAAAAGCTAAAAAGGCTTTCTATAGAGTGCTCCATCAATGTCTATTTTTCAGTAGCAGGAAACTAATCCAGTCCCTTTCGAATTTCAGAAATCTAAACCAGATGAATATGAAATTAAAGACTTTCTGTAAGAATTTATGTATTATTGATTGATGTATGTTGATATATATTACAATAATTCATGATTCCTATATATAGAAGAGGGTGAGTGTGTAGTAGGTGATGAGTAGGTGAGGAGTAGGTGGAGAGTAGGTGAAGTAGGTGAGTGTGTAGTAGGTGGTAGTGGTAGGTGTGTAGTAGGTGAATTTTAACAGCCCCCCGCAAACTCAAGGGGGATAGGAACTAACCAACTTGAGTTTGGAGAGAGTTACAAGACAAGAAAATACATAAAAATAAAAGAGGATAGGTGACACTGTATGGTCGTGTCAGACCATTGGTGAAGACACTGGATGGTGGTGTCATAACGTTGTAGAGGACACTGTATGGTTATGGCAGACCGATGTAGACGACAGTTTATGGGGTCATGTCGGACCGTTGTAGCAGACAATGTTGTGACAGTTGTTGTGACAGTTTACGGAGTCTTGCTGGACCCTTGTAGAAACTAACCGGAATCAATGTCGGGACAGTTTACAGAGTCTTGTCGGACCCTTAAAAAGTCGTACCCTCAAAAGGTGTGCCCAATCTGTCAAAAAAGGTGTGCCATCAAAAGGCGTGCCCAATCCATAAAAAGGCGTGTCATCAAAAGACGGGTCATCAAAAGGCGCGCCCATGTTGTCGTCGAGCACCGAGCGGCGCATGATGCGCGTGTCTGCCTCTTCGTCAGGGTCTTTATAAATTGAGGCGGAGGCTGTGCTTGAGACAGAAGCGAAGACAAAAAAACTTTGTGAAAAAACTTCTGAAAAAACTCTTCATTTTCTGAGAGAAATAGTCGTTTTTCTGAGAGATTGTCTCTAAGAGCTGCAAATCTTGAAACACTCTGTAATACTCGGTTGCCCAAAAAATGGCCTCTTCGTCCCGTAGTCTGCTCACTCTCTTTCCAGACCTCAACGAGTCAACAAGAGAGATAACTGGTGCGGTGGCCCGTGAACCTCAACCAAACACCTCTGATTTTGCTCCGTTGAACTTTCCGATGCGGTCTGTGGAGCAAAAAATGGCGGTGCAAACTGATATTGAGGCCAATCAGTATACTTTGAAGTCATGTGTGGAGACCATGACGGCGGTCACAAACCTGTCGCACCGGCTGCAGAGTAGAACAAATGAGGTGCAGCAGCTAAACGCAACATATATGTTATAGCTTGTTTTAGTATCAACAGTAAGCTCCAATATCAATATGCGAATATATCATCATGTACTAAAAAAGATAGCATCTGCAAAAAGAAACAAACAAAAAAAATTATTTACAATATAATTAATTTCAAGCTTACAAAAAATATAAAATATTTGATATTTATTTCAAAAAATAAATAAATAAGATTTTAACATATACATGAATGAAGCGCCACACAATGTATCTTCCAACAGATTCTCCAACTGTTCTTAGACCTCGGGATGGTGTTTCCAAAGGAGCATTCGGCTTTTTCACCTTTAAGACAGATTTGCAATATTTGGGCCCAATTGGAACTCCATCAATTTCACGCAACGGATTGTCACCAATAAGAAGTTCCTCTGCCAGTGAGAATACTCAAATATCATGAAACATGAACTATCCAAAGAACCTTTAATTACATCCTACAATGAGCTATCCACAACAGCCCCTAGTAGTTTGAACGTATTTTTCAAATTTTAAAATTCGCACACATAATAATCGCTATTGGAAAGCAGCCAACAGGTAGAAAGCACCACTGAAAAATATGCCATGTCAAACAAAGAAACTTCATACAATCTTGTAAAAAGTTCTATGACTCCATTTAAAAGATTCAAATTAATTAACCAACATTAAAAACCAATTCTTACATGGACTAGGGAAGCATTTGGGCATTGTTACTTCAGTAAGACGTTCAAATTGTGTCACATGAACACAACAGTCATAAAGGTAATGTGCTGTCAACATAATCTACTAGCAAGACTTGAAGAGTTGCTATTTGGGTGCAGTTGAGTAATTTTAAAACCAGATTAGACTAAACAGGTAATACATTGCACGAGTCCTTCCACAAGTCATAGTGCAAAAGGTTTGCACCACATGAAAGTTTATTATGATATATTAAGCAAGCACATTTGACCAATGCACAAAAACATTAGGATAAACTACTAAAAAAACCAACCAGTCAGGACATAAATACATGGAAACCTCATTGAACGGTTAAACATAGAAACAAATTCACAATCCAATGGAAAATGTTACAAGTGCAGTTGTATGCTCTTTTAATCAAAACTACCTACCACTATAATAACATCAAGCAATAGATCAAAATATTTCTAAAACTCAGTACCTTCACCACAAGGGGACTTCCTGGTAGTGATGTGAAGAACCTTGGTGGGCATCTTGACAGGTCCCTTCACCCCCAGCCTCTTATCCTTGGCACCACGAACCAAATCCGCACACACTACCAATCAAAAACAAATAGGAAAAATAAGATATAACACCTCATGAAAATATTTCAATTTCAGCTAAGCATGTACATAAAGCTATTATCATACTCTTCCGGCCTTCAAAACCATGTTTAAACTTCTTCAGAGTTTCAGCATTTAATGACTTGACTTCAGCTTTAAAGCTTCTATTGATAATTCAACACTTAAATAAGCAATTTCAGCACATAGTTCTACTTTTCAATAACCGTAGGCATTGTGTTAACTTCTAAATAAGTAGGCATCTAATCTTTTCTAGCAGTTGAGTCATGTAAGAAAAACTGATGTATTATTGATTGATGTATGTTGTTTATTACAATGATTCATGATTCCTATATATAGAAGAGGGTGAGTGTGTAGTAGGTGAGGAGTAGGTGGAGAGTAGGTGAAGTAGGTGAGTGTGTAGTAGGTGGTAGTGGTAGGTGTGTAGTAGGTGAATTTTAACACTTTCTTAACCCTGGTATTCCTAGAAAAATTTATGATGAATTAAATGGAATATGGAAAACCCACATTTCAGAAAATAAAAAAGGTTTTCGATTGCATATGTCCAATTTATCATTTCAATTAGCGGAACAAACCACTAGAATAAATGAGTTACAAAAACTTTGTTTCCAATTCATTAAACAAACGAATTGGGATCAAGATTTTTAATTTGAAAAGAAAAAATACTTTTCTTCAAATTTCTGAATTCATAAACCATGAATATTCAGATCCCTCTTTTGAAACAATTAGAAGAATTTGTTTTTTGAAAAATCAAGAACAATTCTTTCCTGTGAAAATTTTAAAATCATTAAAGATAAAGTAGAAGAGAATTGTGAAAGAATTAAACAAATTCTTTCCAAATCGATTAACAAAATTAATTTACAAGATGATATTCTAAAAACCACATTATTCCTAGATACCCAAGAATGGTTTTATGAGGATAATGATTGAAAAGTCTCTGAAGAAATTGACTGGGGAATAACTAATCAAGTTATTCTTCAAAGTTCTAATCCTATACAATGGAAAGATTTTTCAGAGATGATCAAGGTAATGCTCTCAAAAGTAATGAAAAAAATTACAAATGGAGCAAATATTTCACTTTTTGGATTGCTAGCACCATTAGATGGGGTGAAAGGGAAAAATTCTATCAGTCATATCAAATTTGGTACTTGAAAAGGACTGAAGAATCAAAATTAGCTCACGATGTTAAACCTCATTAATTAATTAATGTCTTATGTCATTATTGTTGTCCCAAGTGGCACAAAGTATAAAAAGTTACAGTGAATTGCCTTTCATGGTAATTGATGGAAGAAGACTATTTGTTACTATAGAGCCAATTTCATATACAAGAACTGCTACACAACAAAGTGAAGCAAAAGATTTTTTGGCAAAAAGAAATTTGCTAGATCTTCCTCTAGATTTGGCAATGCAAGCTAATAAAGTGGAAGTTTCTAGAACACAGGAATGGAGTCAGCCCCAAGATTCTCCATTATCTGAAGATAGTGTCTTCATGCACAATCTAGACAATATGATGGAAGCATAGTGGGCCTATGAAGACGCGTTGCAGATATGTTGGATCGACTGCATCCTTATCCAGCACTCGTGGTAGCATCTGCAGCAATAATCAAAAGATAAGATTAGCCAAATCTTATCTGGAGCAGTATCTCTTTTTCAAAAACGAGGGAGGGGGATTCCATATGTATTGTAGATAGACTTTTCTGATAAACCTAAGTATAGGCCTTTTGACTTTAGTGTAAGCAAATTAATAAACCTAAGTATAGGCTTTTTGACTTTTAGATGAATAGCTTTTTGGATTTTTGTTGATTGTATCTACAAATGTATTCTATAAAATGGCATTGAAGCTAACGAAATGAAACATTGTAAATTCTCAAAAACTCTCTCATCGTTTGCTTACATCTCGTATAACTACTTCTGCAATTAGTTAGAAAATATATCTATTAAGTATTTGGTATTAGAGCCTAAGTAACGAACTTGGTGAAAAGTTATGAAGCAAGATCAAGTTTTATGTAAGTATACTCTTTTAGATTTTATTTCCTATTGATAGTTCTACAACTATTAAATTATTGTGGTCTTTTGTTTCACTGTTTGCTAAAATTCATAATCTTGTTAATCTTCAAAGCCCATATACCTACAGATTGTTAACCCAAAATCGCCAGTTGAAGGCTCTTAGGGTGTCAGTCATTTAGGGACACGGTTCTAGGCACTTGAAGAAAAACAAGAACGTTTGAAGTACCATTGATAGTATAATATGGCAAAAGATACTCAAGAAAATATTAGATGTATAGTTACGCAAATAGGAAGGCTAGAATTTGAATTTGATCATGGTATGCACATAGATAAAAGAAATAGTAATAACTTACTGCTGTAACCTCTACTATTAATGGTATGCGTGATTTATTTTCTTGGTTTGAAAATATAAAAAAAAAAACACAAAAACATATTCATATGTATATAGATAAGAAATTAGATGTTTTGCATCAGATTTTAGTAAATGTCGAACAAGATGTTAGAGATCTTGGTAAAATAATTAATATAGATTTAAATGAAAAAACAAAAAAACAAATGGAAAATCTAATAACAAAAATAAATTTTCTAAGTAAACGTAATGAAGAATGGAATCTTCCGGCGGATACATCCATACCTTATTTTTTTATGGAAATGATGAAATAAACGTCATTGAAAATTCAGTTTCTTCTTATAAAAAAGAAGAATATGAAAATCTTGTGAAAGTCATTGAATATTGGAAAAAACTTTATTTAGATCCAACATCAACTGTTGAAGAACGCAGCAGGTTGATTACTCAAATTCAAAACCTATATTTAGAAAATGAAAATTTGTTTACTCATTTTGGGTATCAAGTTTTTATTATAGATGATGAATTTGATGATGACTCCTCTTCTCATTTCATCAATGCAACCAACGTGGTGATAAATGACGAACAGACTTAAGAATCTGAAACTTTAGACTCTGAAATTTCTGATGAAGAAACCAAACCTGCAACTACAGGTAAAGGTAAAAGAAAAATAGATGAACCATTAGATCCAGAAGAATGTGAAGCAAAACCAGAATTTAATAAAAATTACCAAACAAACGGTACCAGACACATCTATTAGTGAAACTAAACTTAGTGATCCTAAACCATCTTACCAAAGAGAAGATGATTTAAACAAAACTCTAGTAACCCAACACGGTACTTATCTGAATTTAACACGTTGCTTTTAAAGATCAATTAAAAACAATTGATGATTGGGCACAATCCATGTCTATTTTAATAACAAATTATAAGTCAACATGGACAAAAGAAGATTCTTAGATTATATTGCAGCAACGTTACAAGGAAATTGTTTGCAATGTCTAGACAATGGGAAAAATCTGATTCTGTAAAAAACCATAAAACAGCTCTTTTATCAAACTTTTAAAGTTTTGATAAGATGTTGAGTGATTTTGTCACCATAATTAAAGGAAATATGTGTGGCTATTTAGGAGAAATTAATTTGCAAGAAGATGCAAATTATGCTCTATTCAAACTAAAACTATGTAATATTTGTCAATTTGAAGAGTATGTGACATTATTCAAAAAATATTACTATGTTTTAGATCCTCCACAAAATACCTACTGGTTAGATCAATTTTTTCATAAACTCCCAAACCCATGGGATGAATTAAGTTTTAAAAAATATCCAAGATTTTTAGAAAAATTAGAAAAGAGTGATAATCTTGGATTTAGGATAAACTTTGTCTCGAGACTAATAGCAAATCAGTGCTTATGGTACAAGCAAAGAAACAAGTGAAAAATCAAATCATCAATTCCACAAAAGGAAAAAATTGTTGTGACCAAATTTTATAAGAAAATTGGACAATTGGTTGCACACCTTCTTACAAAAGAAAGGGTAAAATTAACAAAAAGAAATTTAAGTGGAAACCTTGGAAAAAGAAAAAAATTTCTCAGCATAAATATATGTTAAGAAAAGAAAAACAACTTCTTCAAAAATATCTAACAAGAAAAAATCTTGTAAATATTATATTTGTCATGAAGAAGGACATTATGCACCCTCGACCTAATGTGCCATCAGATGGTTCAGTTTCAAAAAGACATAGGTGAAGGAAGAATAAGGCCGTAAGGAAACTGTAACAAAGAACAGTGGTGGCAAATGTTATAGGAGCTGTTGAAAAGGTTCTCTCGAGAGATGAACGCTAAAAACAAATTGAAAGTCCTATCTTCACACTAGGAAGAACTATGAAATCAAACTCTATTGGAAAGTCAAGGCTCTCAAAGGCGGAGGGTAAACGATCCTTGGAAAATATTTCTGCCTTGATCCAACTATCTATGGAGGGAGTGAGAACGGGGCCTGTAACAAGGTCTACGACCCGTGAGGCTCAGAATAAAGCATCGTAGTCAGATGTGCCAAATGTAAGTAAGGCTATAGGGATTGATAATCCTTTATATGGACAAGATGATTCTGTCTCATCTAACTCATTTGTTTCAACGAATATTGAAAATGATGATTTGAGAGATGTCAACAAAGCCATTACAGTCATGATGACTGATGTTGAAAAGGATGGTGAAAATTCGCAGGTCCAACAGGACCACCAGGGTCTCAAGGAAAAAGTGGTGGCCCTACAACGACAACTTGAAAGAAGAGAACGGGAAGTGGTTGCTATATTAGAGCAAATACAATAGTTGCAGGCCCAAATGACAGGAACAGGAAGTGTACCCAAACAAACGGCACAACCTATAGTGGTCCGTAGGCGTACGAAGCACACTGGCCCCAAGGGGCAATGGTCCTTGTTACTCTGACCTAACCAGTGGTGGTATGAATCCAATGCTCATGACCATGACTGATGATATGGTAAGGAAACAAGTAACGAAAGTCAAGAAGAAAGATGATGAGAACTTTCGAGTAATTACAAAGCCTTACCCAGCATGAGTAGATGTTGTTCCATTTCCTTCTGGTTTTTCCTAACCAAATTTCAAAATGTTTGATGGAACAGGAGATCCAAGACAACATGTGTCTCACTTTCTTTCAAGATGCGGGCCAATAGCCCAAAATGAGGCCCTTTGCCCACAGCTATTTGTTCAATCACTTGAAAGTTCTGCATTTACATAGTATGCTAACCTTCCTGAGGGATTAATCCTAAATTGGGATTCCATAGTAAAGGAGTTCCTTAAACAATTCTGTAACATGCAAAGGCGAGTTGGAGTACCATAACTGATTGAAACCAAGCAACGTGACAATGAGTTTGTTACAAATTTCATTTCAAGGTGGCGAGCTTTGACATTTGTCTGCCCTCAAAAGTTCATGCAATTAAAGTTAATTCGGATGTGCCTTAACAACTTCCGATATGAGTTCTCTACAGTTCTTATGGCTGTAACTTTTGAAGGGTTCAACGATCTATGCACTAAAGCTTATGATATGGAACTGCATTTGGCCAAACGAAGGAGGTCTAGGGCGGTTGAAAGGGTTGAGTCCTCAATCGCAGCTATAGTTGAAATCAGAAAGAAGGGTCCTGTTGTAGTTGGGGCTAAAAAGCCCAAGAAATTTAAAAAGGTGACTATGAAAGAAAGGTTGGAGAAGAAATATTTGTCCACGGATGATCTGGTCGAAGACTTATATGAAGATCGGTTGGAGCAAAAGTTGATTGCTTTCACGTTTCAAAATTTGTGTCTACAATCATATATATTGAATCTCAATTTTGTAAGAATACATCTTTGAGGGTGCTTGTGGTTTTGTTCTGGTTGGCTTGGGTAACCCCAATCATGCTTAACCTGAACCTGCCCAGTCAGAATTTTACCCATTTAAAACTCAACCATCTCAAACCAATATTCTAACATGTTAATTTCCATTTTTTTTTTCTGGAGTATCAGTTTAAAATATATAATATATGTCGAAGTATACCTTATAATGGTTGTTAATTACTTATAATAATGCTACTACATAATATAATGAAATCATGGGGAATAGATTTGTGGAGGGTTGGGTCCTTGGAACCACTTCATCGAGTCATTTTAATTTCAACCACTAAAGAATCAGAACAACCTTTCTTAAAGAAATAAATGAATATATTAACATAGAGTTGCTATAATTCTATAAAAAGAAACCAATTAATTGACCAATAGTTTTGAGGAGTGTAAACCTGAATGAAACAGTTTACGAGAGGGCTGAGCAGCCACTTCATGTAAATAATACCAATGGTTAAGTCTGTAGTACCTTGTCTACACCTCCCACTATCTTGTATTGGTGAAACCAATATATGATAATGTCCTCTTCCCTTTCTCTGAGGAGAATGGGTGTTCTGTAACACTTTAGATTGGAGTTTTTAATAGCATATCAGGCTGTTATCTTTTTTATTTTATTTCATAATTTAGCATGTGTGCTGATTTTCTGCAAACATGATCTGTTCTGTTATGCTCTACTTTCCCTTTAAATAAACAAACATCTTCTTCATTGTCAACCTTTCAAAAGAAATTTCTCTTATTACATGTATTGTTTGACACCCACATGGATTTCATAGGCAACATTTTGATAAGATTTGTTTTTCCATCTTTCTTTATTTGTTTCATATGCTTAGTTTAAACTATCAAAAGCTGATCTTATTGAATTAGGATATCGAGGTGTGGTTTGTGGAATGGATCCGGTTTGCTGTGAATCAAGTTCATGGAAGGAAAGTGCACATGTTGAAAAGTTGTCTCGTGGCGCTGATCAGCCATTTTATCAGGTCTAACTTGCCTTACCATCTTGTACTTTATGAGATACTATTGGGCTTGCTTTTAAACCTCCTTTCTGTAATGTTTGAGATTTGCATAAAGTGATTTTTTTGCTTAAATTTTTCTTTTTTGATAAGATGATACTTAAGACGGGTATACTTTAGATGAGGCAATTGAGTGGGAACAAACCTTTTGATATTTGAGGGAAATAGCATTGTTAACATTTGATTCCACCTCTTAGCTTGGTAAAATCCGAAGTTAATAAAAGTTTTAGTTTTAATTTTAATTAATTAATTTTTATGTATTTATTTATTTTTCATATGTCACTAGAGTTCTGAAAAAAGGGTAAATAGGGTGGCATTAACTTAATCATCCTGTGAGTGATTTATTACATTCTTTGATGGGGTAAGAAATGTAATGGTCATTCAACTGGTTCCGCATGGCAATCAAATGAGTTCATTTTCTATCAATCTTTTGAAGATATGTCCTTGTTAAGTTAACTTTCACAAATGAAAGCAGTAACATCTGTTATCATCATTATTTGCTGATGTTTTCAATTCTCTCCCTGGCCTCCTAGCTTGACAAGCTTTTGCCATCAAATGCTTTTGTAGTACTGGAAGGATTTTGTTTCAAAAACTGAAAAATAGATACATGCATTCAAGTAAATTCTGGATCTTCTCTAATTTGTTTCAGCTTGTTGGCCATACAAGTAGTCCATGCACAGATTGGAATGTGGTATTCAGCATCATTGGTGTTCATTATTATATAGTTGAAGAACTCACTGTTACATTTGTATTGAATGGTCCCGTCTCTTATGTGATGGTTCACATATAATTGTCATAAACAAAGGTCATCACAACAATGACAGTGAATTGACACTAACTATATCATCACTATGCAAAGATTTCAAATGTCAATCACCCTACAGACCATATTGATAAAATATGTGGGAACAAATTCAATAGTGTTGATTGAACAACAAATAATAAACATCATGCCATAGTGGAGGAAATCATGGTTTCAGAATTATATAATTTCACGAGAATATTTCATGTTGCGAATGAGTTGGTGACATAATAATAGTATACAAAATGCAAAGAGGAAAACTGAGATTTTCAAGGTTAGGTGTTGGGAAAAATAAATACAATGGAGAAATTAGTCTGGTAATTTAGTTACGTTATTTGATCGCAGCAGGGTGGTTTTTCTCATTGCTGATTTCATCTCATCTATGTGTTGCCACATAATTGGCACTTAAAGCATAGAACATTTCTGGAACTTGGATGCCCTTGTCATTTCATTGATTTGACAAACTAGCAGACATTGCAGGCAAATAAAGATTTAAGAAATCTCTAATTTTGCTTTGCCTATTGTTTTACAGGTCTTGGTTGATGTATATGCAAAACCCAACCTACTAGTAGCATATGGTAATTAACGGGATCTTGATCTTGTTCCTTCAGAGATTTCTCTTCTATTTGGTTAAATCTACGTTATTGCCTTGTCATCAACACCTGTATATTTTTACTTGAGAATTCATTAATTTCATCAGTTTAGATTTGCATGTCATCTGACCTATGAAGGTGTAGTTCTGTGTGTGCTTCGATTTGGCATTGTCCGGCCTTAGATATGCTGTTTTGCAATTATTTGCTGTTTCTGTCCCTGATATCTGATTTTCCGTGCAAATGCTTCATGAATTGCAGTTTCTGAGGAAAATTTATTGGCCCCTGACCAACCAGACATGGTGAGTTGAATCATAATCTGAAGAAACAAGTAGTGTCTGGAAATCTTGTATCTTAAAGTGTGGCTCTGCTTGGCAATGTGCAGGGCAGGTTTGATCATCCCTACATTTCTTTTCTATTCTATGGTATGGATGCAGCTGGGGATTTCATTCCAATCAAACAGCTGCGCGAGAAGTACAATAGGCCTCGGCATGAGGTGCCCCAAGATCCACCAGAAGAGAATGGAGGTGATTCTTAACTGGGTATTGCCTGATTTCCTAGTCATGTGGGTTTTTAGGAAATCGAAAACCTTTAAAGGTGTTTTGAGTAGCTTCCTTTGATGTCACCGTTGATTTCTCTCTCCTTTTGCTAGTGAAGTTGATTGTACATCCAAATTCTATTCGGCTTCATAGCTCACTTGTATATGATCTAGGGATCCTCTATTTCAAAATTTGTCTCTTTATACCCAATACATTCCTAGTGGTATGATGTGGTGGAAACCTTAAAATATGGAATATGATCATATGATTGAAAAATGCATTGAAACACAAGGATGGAGATTTTGGGGACATGGTCTGAATAGCTGATCCATGTGTGTATACCATGTCTTTTTGGCACTGGGAGGATTTATTGTAATTCATATGTTGATCATGGATGTCAAAACAGTAGATAATAAAACAAGTAATAAATAAATGGGTAATTAATTTCTTAATTTACTTGTTTGTACATATTAAAAAAACATAATTGAGATCAGCTGGTAATATGTTTGAAAATTTATTTATAAATTATGAGCCTATGATTGTGAAGTGGCTGCCTTGATTAGTCCATATAACTGTGGAATGGCTGGGTAAGTGGTTGATGCTGGTGTTTGGTGCAAAAAGCTAAAAGTTATAATGAGGAAGCCCTAAACCATCATATCAATCAAATATATAAAAAGGTAGAACAACATAGGGTTTCAAATACATCCCTTAACCCCTAACTTGCTACTAAGTAACTTGAGCTTAGACTTTTGAGTCATGTTGGTAGGCTCACAGATTGCATCCCCTAACCCCTCATGTTATTTCCTCAAAATTGTTAACAACTCAAATATTTTGTATAAAAATGCCACAAATACATCCAGAAACTCATATTGAACTAATGAAATAAAATCCTACATCTTGAAGAGAAGAGAAGACAACTCTCAAAGTAATGACCAAATTGACTTTTCGGTTTGTTCTCGAAGCCCTCGTTAAGCTCTACAATATCGACATTTGGGTTGCAGATCAATTTCAACCCCAAGTGCTCCGAAATCAAGGTTGAAACTTGGGAGTTATGGTGGAGAGAGAGAGAGAGAGTAGAGAGAAAATAGAGATACAGAGAGTGTAAAGAGAGTAAATGAAAAGAGGGGAAAATGGGTTGATGAAGAAAAATGGTCAAAATAACACTTGGTTAGGAGGCTGCCATGTGCAGGATTCTCAGCCTTCGCCACTTGTAGAGCCTCCTTACTGCACGTACAAGCGTTCATGGCCGCACCTGGGGTTTCACGTAGTGTCAAACCCAGAAAATCACCCATTTGCCGCACGTATAGACCTGTCCTACGGCACGTATGGGGCTAACTGCCACATCTGCAGGCCTTCTACCCAGAAACTTATCCTTTTTTACACCAATCCGCATGTACAAGACATCCCCGCCGCATGTGTGACTCTACCAGCTAAAGCCCAAATTCTCAAGAAGGTTTTCTACACTTCTATTTTCTCAAATCTGAAAAACGTTACATGCTAAAAAGGGTTCAACTCCAACTCACAACAAAAAAATCTGACAAATCATAGGTCCAAAAGTGTATCGGGCTGCCTGTACAAGTGAAATCAGATCGAGTTTAAGCCCCATGACACTACAAAAAATGACCATACTTTAGGGGTAAAAGTGTAATTTAGTTCATTTCAGTCACAAAAGTATAACCATTGTTAAAATTTAGATCACAATAGAAAGAATTACATAGTTTAGGAGATTTTTTCTTAATGATCAAAGTGAGAAAATGTCATATTTTAGGGGTGAAAGTGTAATTTACTCCCAAAAAATGTTAAAAAATACATTGTAAATTAAATTATGATTTATCACTTTAACTTATTTGATGCAACTTTTTACAAGCTAATAATTGATATCAGAAATCAAAACTAAAATAAAACATTTATTCCCATAATCATATTTTAACTATTCCTGCTTCATAAGCTTCAAACAAATGTTGAATCATTGACACATATTTAAAAAAATAAAAAACCAAAAAAAACTATAAGAAAACTCATAAGATGTACTAAATAGGACTAAAAAGTTTTAGGCCCTATTTGTTTACCATATACAAGGGCGCGGATACGAGAGTGAGACCGGATATAATATAAGGTGGGTCCCATATGTTTTCTTATCTCCCTATATCTCGTGTTTGGTTGCTCCGAATACAGGGAGTTCAGATAGTATATGATGCAAAATAGGGGATATGCAATACCTCCTATGGTATTGTATATCCCTTACCGTCGGATATAGGGAATCTTTCATCCAAAGGTAAAAAATAATCACTCATCTTATCTCATCCTATATCTTATCTTAATTAAACATAGTATAAGTGATCCACAATATATATAATCTATCTCATATCCTAAAACATATTATATCCCATCTTTTTCCTTAAGTATTACATATCCTCCTCAAACTCTTATATCCAATCCGAACAATCAAACAGGGTCTCAAGTAATGAACATTTTATTCTATTTCGTTTTTATTTTAGTGAACTAAACATAACAGAGTGATTGATGCTAAAATACTATAATCGGATAATTCTTCTCTAATGGTGTAAATGTTTTTAGCGTAATTTGCATTAACATCTCTTGAGATTTGTCCGATTACATCCCATTCACATCCCTGCGGTTAATAGTCTCATTTCACAAAACCTCTTACTTATATAAAAGGTAACTCTTGATAGAAAAATAAAGGAAATTATATTGAAAAAAAAAAGTAAACCAGAGAAAAGAAAAAAATAAATAAATAGAAGAAGTAAAGCAAAACAAGAAAAGAAAAAGTGTATGAATTTATTGTCTTTTTAATACCAACGTTAATTCCGTCTAAATAATTACAATCCAAGGGGGGTTAGTGTAATTTTCCAAACGTCAAGGGGTGATATATATTAAACACAAATCTCAAGGGGTGTAAGTGTTATTAACCCATGTTTTTATTTTTACTTTTCTTATAGAATGTTAAATAAAAATTATAAGGGTGATTCTACTTACACCACTATTTAATCTCTTTACACCCTCCATCTCATTACACCACTAAAAAAAATGTAATTCTCATTACACTCCCAATATATTATCAAAACTAATCCTAAATTAACTATTTCATCTCTTTACACCACTAATTTTAGTAACAAGGTGCTAAACAATTTACATTATTCTAGTGTTATGCTGCCGGAAAAAAATAAATCTCTCCAGCATTTTGTTGCTATACATTTATAGAGACACTTTCTTCCAAACAATGAATTTTTTAATTTGTGGTGGGCCTGTTCGATAATACAATGCTAATTAATTTGAATTAATCCAGTGCCATGTTATCGGACAATATTTTTTTTCCCAGCGTTATATTGCCGTCCAATTAGATGATAACAAGAAATTAATTTGGGCACTTGTGAAGTGCATGTTTAGTGATACGTTATACAAATGAGATTACTCTAGTGTCATGTTGCCTAACTACAATAGAGTTGTCTAGGCCTCCGTCGTTGTACATTGAAAGATTTACATTTTCCTTGAAGCATCCATAAAAAAAAATCATAAATCAAACACGCATCTATAAAATCATACATAAAAAGTATCCATAAATTTATTCATAAAAATATCAAGTGTACATCCATAAAGTATCCATAAAATTTGTCATTGTTTGCATCCATCAATCAAACATATTATCACAATTCGTCGTGGTAATTTGTAGGTAATTTTCTCTCCTTAATAGAAATAGACATCCACACTTCTTAGAACTTGTCAATCTCAATCGTTCTCCCTTGATCTTCATACTGTCTCTATAGTAAACCTCTTCTTTTGCAAGCAAGTATAAGTCTTGGTTTTCTGTCATTGCCTCCTACATTGATGTCTTTATAATAATGACAAATCCAGTTTTCTTCCCAATGTCAGAAGCCCATTTAATTAATGCTTCACGACTACGAAAAATCTAAAGATAATAAATACATTTATATGTCAATTTATTAATAAAACTTAATACAAATTAAAAATAAGAAAAAAAATTGTGTTCATAAAAAAAACTTAACAAATCTCATCTGTAATGAATTCATGACTAGAGTCTACTAATATTGTAGTACTTGCGTAGTTGCAATGAGTATAAGTATAATTCTTCTAGGTAAAAAAATAAAAAATATAAAAAAAATGAAACTGAAAATGCATGGTAATGAGAAGCCGAACAAATTGAAAAAATTTGGTTTGGGGTTACTGGAAATGTATCTTTTATTTGGTAGTTGGTTTGTAGAATTATATTTTTTTTTTCAGCAATATGATACCGGACTATTTTATTTTGTTTGATTTCGAACTACCGAACGAAAGTCGAATACCAGTCTAGAAAAACGAAACAAAAACCTATCAAATAAATGAAAAAACTCACAATTTCACTTTTTGATGGTTCTTCACCACTGTTTCTTTATCCATTGCTTTCTTTAATGATCAAAATACTATGATTCTCACTTTTTGAAAAGAGATGTGTAAGAGAAAAGAACAATTAAGAAACGAAAAAGAAGAGTAGGGATTGAAGACCAAGGGGTGTGAGGAGATAACAAAATATATCTAATTTTAGTATTTTGTCCTTAAAGATAATTTCACACATGGATTAAATTGGGGAAAAAAAATAAATCATATGGAGGGTGTAAAGAGCTAAAGTAGTGGTGTAAGTAGAATCAACCAAATTATAATTGTAAGTTCCATTATAAGAAGAGAAATTTTATTTTTACCCCTATACTTTGCCTCGATTTTCAATTACACCTTAGACTTCTACTAATTTCAATTTTATCCCCAAAACTTTTGAAATCATATTAATTTTGCCCCTACCGTCACATTTGAAAAAGAAAAACTTTAAAAAAAAAAATTTACATTTTGGTCTCAAATTTCAAAAAAAAAAAAGATGTAGACCCACCCTCCTACCACCAAACCACCACTACCACTTCAAGCCCTTCTATCTTCTTCGTCATAACTCCGTTTCACCTCCTTTTTACGTCGTTGGATTCGTCTCATGGCCTAGTTTTTGTATCACCTCTCACATGTCTCATTCTTCTTCTTTTTGCATGCCGTTGGAGCTCCGAAAGTTGATAATAAAAAAGAAAGACTTTTCTTTCCATTTTTGACTTTTCTTCGAGCCATATTTTGAACTTCATATCTTCCTTGATTTTTGATGGTTCTACTTTATTCTTTCGCCATTCTCTTCATCTCACTTTCTAATTCGTTCTATACTGCCTCGCTTTCTCAATTCTTCGTGTAATGGGCGGTTTTGGTATGTCAAAAGTTGTCCGAAAACTAATTTTGAAAATTCTGAAACATTCATTGTTTGTTTCTTTGTCCTCCATCTTCCTCATTATTCTTCTTCTTCTTCACTTATAACATGAAATTGATGAGAATATAATATGTATATATATATATATATATCTTCTTCTACTAAACCCTTCTCTCTCTCTCTCTCTCTCTCTCTACGTAT